ATGATATATAATATACTGTAACATTTGATCGGAAATATTAAAAGTTATATGATAGAACGTTGTTGCTAAAGTTCCAGTTACCAGCATAACAAATTAATATTGGTCAGCCTTATGTAACATCCAATTTTTGTTCAATTTAAAATCATTTTTTTTCTTTTTTCTAACTTAAAAATAAATAAATAGATAAAAAGAAATGAGTATAATATCCTTACAGTACTAACTGTGTTGGAACAGTTTACCCTTATTATCATGAATATACCATTACGTTGTTTAAAAAGCGTCAACTGTCCTAAATTGTTGTAACCCAATTTATATCTATAAACCTGGGGTAGCTATTTCATTCATTCCAGAATAAAATAATATTTAAATTCATTCAATGTATCTTGGTTTGCCTGTGATTAATTATACATACTTATTGATACTTATAAGAAGTCTGTTCCGCATGGTATAAAAAGATAATTGAATATTTGATTCGCTTATGACTTGAATAATTAAATGATTATTACTCCTTTGTACCTGAGTCCGTACAAGGAAATAATTCATTGGGGGAGGGGTCAATGAACCCTAAATTCCTGTACACGGTCATCAAATGTAACTATATATTGAGGGACATATCCATTAACCCTACAGTACTGTACTCTACCGGGTGCAGGGACCCTGTTTTACAAAAGAATTTACGGCCGAGATCGATCAAACATTTTTGAGAAATATTGTCTATCTAAACATTGATTTGAAAAATATATGCTGTCATATTTTTTCTTTTCTTTTTTCCCCAAAACAATTGTAATTTTTGTCTTCTGCTCCCGCGAAAGCGAGGGGACATTAAATCTCATTCGTCTGTCCGTCTCTCCGTCCGTCAGTCTGTCCGTCCATCCGTCACAAAAGCTTTAACCTTGCCCACAACTTTTGATTTAGTGGAGCTATGACTTTCATATTTCACATGTGTATTCACAGATTTCTGTACTTATGCAAAATCTTTAACATTGGCAATGACTTAAAAATGGTAAGAGCTAGGGCTTTCATACTATACATATGTAATCCTTGTGAGAAGACCTTTCATTAGATGCCAAGAACTTTGACCCTCTGACCTTGACCTTGGAGTTTGACCTACTTTTAAAAAAATTAATTTGGCCATAACTTTTGAAGGGTTAGGGCTAAGGCTTTCATACTTTAAATATTTAATCCTTGTGACAAGACCTTTCATCGGATATCAAGAACTTAAAGTAAGACTCTCTGATCTGGACCTTGGAGTTTGGCCTACTTTTAAAAAAAGATTAACCTGGGCCATGTTTTTCATGGTAAAGGCTAGGGCTTTCATACTTCACATAAATAATCCTTGTGAGAAGACTTTTCATTGAACATCAAAGAACTTTGACCCTTTGACTTTGACCTTAGAGTTTGACTTACTTTTAAAAAACAAACATTGACCATAACTTTGAAGGGTCAGGGCTAGGGCTTTCATATTTCAAATATTTAATCCTTGTGAAAAGAACTTTTATTGGATATCAAGAATTTGGACCCTTTGACCTTGGATTTTGACCTACTTTTTAAAACCTTGAACCTTGGCCATAACTTTTGAACGATCAGGGCCAAGGCTTTTAAAATTTCACATATGTAATCCTTGTGAGAAAAACTTTCATTTGATACCAAGAACTTTGAACCTTTGGACTTGGCATTTTAGTTTGACTTACTATCAAAAACTTTGACCCCCTGACAAGATCTTTCTTAATAAACCACCAACACTGACCCTTTGACCTTGGAGTTTGACCTACCTTTCAAAAACTTAATTCTTGGTCATAACTTTTGAACAGGTGGTGCTAGGGCTTTCATATTTCACAATTGTATTTCTTATAATTGAATCAGTAATTTGCTTCAGTGATTTGATTATGGCCATTTAATTTTTCAGGGTTTTGGTTTTACCGCATTTTTCTTAACGTTTTCGATATAGAGCTTATTTTCGGTATGTAAGTTAACCTAAAATAATGAAATATAGATCAAGTTTGCATTCTTCTGCTTTTATGAATTTTTGACGGAAGCTGGGAATTTCAATTTTTAAGGGGAACCAGATTACACTAGTCGGTACCGAACAAGCTATTGCTAATGCAGTCCTTGTTTCTGAAAGTTAGATGTATGCGAATCTGACATGTATACATGTGATATTAATAAAATCGGGTAATTATAAGTTGCATATTTCCATTTTGTCAGCCTGGGTTAAAACTCCTTGATTGTAGGTTTTGTGATTTTGGAACTCCACACACAATCTTGACATAAGTCCGTTTTAAAAGTGAACTTATGCTTACAAATAAAGTAACGGGTAATTATAAACGAACCAATGAGAATATTTTTTTCAAATTTGTCGTTTCCAGTCCTGGATCAGCTAGCCCAACTTTTAAAAAGCAACTTATGTTAAGGGTTTGTGTATGGAGAACTTGGCAATTTTTCCTTACGTTATGTAAGAATGAATAAGAAAAATACAAGTCCATCATCAAAAAAAAAACAAGATTTTATAATTTTACATCCCAGCTGTCGCCCTATTTGCCGGGTTATTCTCAATAATATAGTATCTTAAATCATCAGAATCTCTAAGTATTTTCTTGGCCTCATCAAATTCGAAATAGCAATGTTTGACTGTCTACTCAAAGGAAAGAATATTTCTATAGTTCCCTTTGAGAAAGAATATTTATATACATGTAGTTCCCTTTGAATATTTCAAGCCTAGCAAGGTGTGATTCTACCATTTTGCAATTACAAACAAACAACCCAAAGAAAAAAACTTAATTTTTTAATTTATTTTATTGAGTTTCAATCATTTCTTTTTATCTCTGTTCTTCAATTTAGAATCTCAGCTTTCACACATATACAAACAGCAACCATGTTTATAACAAGTGCAAACTAAAACATGGAATTTTTTTCCAAACAAACTAAAACTAAGGAATAAATTAATTATAATTCTTATTACATGTATAATTTTCAGAATACAAAACATTTTCAAAACAAATACTAGTATTCAGATTTCCAAAACGCCTATTTACTTACAATTATACTCTAAAATAGTAATATTATTTGATCAGAAAGTAATACTAGAAATGATCGATCACATGTACCATTTCCATCATCAACATTCATACATATAAGAGAGGCATTTACACTAAACACACACATATACAATGGTTTTTGTTACGTTACATACAGCATAAAATTGTTACATTGATATACAGCATAAAGTATACTTTACTATTGTAAAATGCATAATTGTGTTAAGGAACTTAATTATTCCTCAAAATCTTGAAACAAATCCTCACACATACCCAATTTTTCATTTTTTTAAATTAAGGAAAGAACTGGCTCCAAGATCAGATTTAAGTGAAAATTTCAAATTAGTGTAACTTATGAAAAAGTTTTAATAATCGAACAAAATTTTCATCATACATCTGATTTTAAATGTTAAACAAAATTGCAAATTTTAAGCAAATACATTGAATAAAACTCAAGATACTAATTAACCAGAAGTCTCTGTCGAGACTGTAGCTCTACTGGTTTGTACTTATAACAAAGGATAAGAAAAGAAGCCATTGCATTCAGACCAAAACTGTAGAAGGAGTGATGTTTTAAAGGAATTTCACGGACATTTCTATTTTTAGTACTAATGGCAACATCATTCATCAAAATCAAAAACCGATGCACTATTTAATGTATCTTAGTGTAGTCTACTTGTGTGCCAAGTTAAATTGAAATCAGACCAAAACTGTAGAAGGAGTAGTGTTTTAAAGGAATTTCACAGAAAATTCTATTTTTAGTAACCACGGCAACACCATTCATCGAAATCAAAAACCGATGCACAGAATTATGTGTCTTAGTGTAGTCTACTTGTGTGCCAAGTTACATTGAAATCAGACCAAAACTGTAGGAGGAGTAGCATTTTGAAAAATTGTTTACAGACAGACAGACAGACAGACGGACGGACGACAGACACCTTACTATTGCATAAGCTCTTCTGGTCTCTGACCAGTAGAGCTAAAAACCGATGCACAGAATTATGTATCTTAGTATATAGTCTACTTGTGTGCCAAATTATATTGTAATCGGACCAAAACTGTACGAGGAGTAGCATTTTAAAAGAATTTCTCAGAAATTTCTATTTTTAGTAACCATGGCAACACCGTTCATCGAAAGCGAAAACTAATGCACAGAGTTATGAATCTTAGTGTAGTCTACTTGTGTGCCAAGTAATATTGAAATTGGACCAAAACTGTGGGAGGAGTAGCATTTAGAAAGAATTTAACAGAAATTTCTATTTTTAGTAACCACGGCAACACTGTTAATCGAAATCAAAAACCCATGCACAGAATTATGTATCTTAGTGTATTCTACTTGTGTGCCAAGTAATATTGAAATTGGACCAAAACTGTGGGAGGAGTAGCATTTCGAAAGAATTTCACAGAAATTTCTATTTTTAGTAACCACGGCAACACCATTCATCGAAATCAAAAACCGATGCACAGATTCATGTATCTTAGTGTAGTCTACTTGTGTGCCAAGTTATACTGAAATCGGACCAAAACTGTAGGAGGAGTAGCATTTCGAAAGAATTTCACAGAAATTTCTATTTTTAGTAACCACGGCAACACCATTCTTCGAAATCATAAACCGATGCACAAAATTATGTATCTTGGTGTAGTCTATTTGTGTGCCAGGTTATATTGAAATCGGACCAAAACTGTAGGAGGAGTAGCATTTTGAAAAATTGTTTACAGACAGACAGACAGACGGACGGACGACGGACGCATTACTATCGCATAAGCTCTTCTGGTCTCTGACCAGTAGAGCTAAAAATCAAAATTTTGACTTAAGTCTGTTCTCAGCTGGTGGTCTTGGGGCCTGGTTTATTGAATTGAAAAAGGATTTTATAAAATAAAACTGGAGAGACTCAAACAATGACCCTGAGTTATCCTGGTTATCTAATGCACTGGTAATAAAACATTGGAATAGACAGGATCTGTTAGTTTGATAATCTTCTTTGTAAATTTACAAATGTTAAAATATATTTCATTTCGTCTGTTTAATCTTTGCATTTCCTGTATTCCCGAAGGCAATTATTCCTCCTCCTGCGTTGATGTTCCCAAAATTGTATGTGTTGTAAACATCTGAAATTGTAAACAAGTTAGATTGCTGATATTGATGAGAAGTGAAGAGTTTTCAGTGAAAAAAAGACTACTGTTAAATCACTCATTTTCCTGAGGCTTAATTTTCGTTGTTTTCGAGGTATGGAGCGACCCATGAATTCATTACAACCAAGAAATGTAAATTAATGCATAATTATTCAACACTTCTTCATGAATGAAATCAAATCCCCACATATCAATAATTTTTTCTTAAATCTCGAAAATTTGTCACCGCAAATTTTTTTTGATTTTACAGTATATCTTACGTGAGACGCCGTCTGTTTTAAAAGATTCTTTTCCACCCTGAGACGCTTTGTTGTCCTTGTCTTTTCTGCGTTTACTGTCGTTTGATTTTTCATCATCACTCTCAAAGTCTCCTTCACACCCAGAAATGCCCATCTGTCTTTCTGTGTCTTTTATTAGTTCAACAATTTGTACATTTATGTCTTTTACCACATCTTTTAAGACTTTATAGTTTCCTGGAGACATCAGACCTTTCTGTTCAAAACAATCCAATACTTTGACAACATCTCTTATAGATTGTTCTCGTGGTGTTTTCAGATACCGTCTGCAGTTCAACAAAAACCTCTGGTGGTCGTATCCACTATTAACTGAGGGGTCGAGATAGTCTAAGGCTATGGATGATATGAGATTAATGTGGAGTTCTTTCATTTTCTCTTTGTCTACAGGCATTGTTGATTACTGAAAATAAAATATGTTTGATTTCTGTTATAATTCCCATTTCTGAACCAGTTTGTGAAGTAAAAGAATAAGTACTCGTATAGTGAACGTGAACATTAAATGACAAGGTATGGTAATCGCTGGATCTGGGCCCTTATTTGATGTAAAAATAAGAACACAGTTAAACCTGTGAAAGTTTGAAGTTAAGAATTTTAAAAATTAATGCTTGTTTTAAAACCATTTGTGACTTATTTTATTTCAAAGCGTACATGGAGGCCACAAGAGGGTGCAAATAGACTGTTTTCCCAATTTTCTCAATTCTGGTGGAATTTCGTCAAATTTGAGATACTTTTTACTTCGGAAAACATATAGCACAAGCTTTGCTACATGTATCTGAGATGTTTACAAACAAAATGTATCTGATACTAGTGTTATTATGTGGTGATGTAAATTTACCTTTACAAACTAATACGTACATACATTTTGCTGCTATGCATAAATTTATTGATGAATCCTGTAGATTTTAAATTGCTATGTATTAATTGAACAGAAATTTCACTTGTATCACTTTTTGAATTTATATTTCTGTGTAACATATGCCTTTCAAAACATATGACTTCTTGAAATGCTGAGTATATTGATCTATAGTCAGATATGCAAGTGGTAACAATCCAGTTTCAATAGTTTTAGCCCCCCCCCCCCATAATATTGATGTGAAAATCCTGCAACCAACCGATTCTGATTATATACCCTGCTTTCATTGAAAAAGTCGATAAATATGTATAGTTCTTATCAAAATGTTTTCCATTCACAAAATGTTCTTTCAAAAAGAACATGCTTTGTTACTGAAAAAATAAGAACAAAACGAAAGTAAAAGCAAACATTATTTATTTACATTTTTAGGGTTTGATTGGATTGTACTTTAAATTTTGTTTCAGTAAGTATAGGACTGATAAGTTGATAAACTGAAATTTAATTATTGTTTGTAAATAGAAAATTATACTTACTTATTCACGTCTTTGTTCAAAAGATCTATTCAATGGCGTCCATGCAAATATGATACATGTACTATTTTTAACTGGGGAAAATCCACCTATGATAATTTTAAATTCGATCTTCAACAGCTGTGTTTGACGAATGGATGGTGCACCCCCATTTATATTTATTTATGTACTGTGTATATAAATACATACCGTATAAGACTTATCTTTAAATCTTTACGAAAGCGGAAAATGATATCAAATATCGAAATATAAGAATAACAGACTATGAAATCATGTATTTTTAACCCCCTTCCTCGCAGTCACACATTTTAACACATTTCTAACCCAAAATCACACATGTACCGTTTCCCCGCAATCACGCATTTTCACGCACTTTAAAAAGTTCATTTAATCTTCAATTTATTGCCAAATTCTTTCTATTTTATACTTGCTTAAATCTCATAAAATAAGAGCCTAATAAAAATTCTCATGCAGAAGCCGGGGGTTGGGGGTGGGGGTACACAATCCATTCGTCAGGTGCCTATGGTGTACACATTAATGTGGGGGAGGGAGGATAGTTGGAGTAGTAACTTAGTCTACTAGTCCCCGCTCCCTCCACTTTTAGATAGTATAACTATATAATGTTTTATGTCTGTGCCCCCGACATTTTATTTTCCTAAATGTAGGAATTATTTTGACATAAGCCTACACGTATCTGTGATGAATTATGTCATCAACTTGAAGAAGAAAACACTCAAATGCTATGGCCTTCAACTCGACGTTTAGATGTATCGACTATGAATGAGCTGGAAATAAAAGATACCAAAGAGTCTGACAAATCTCTGATTCATATTGAATATTTTTTTCCCAGAAAAAGACTTTAATGTCACGTCTTTTTTTTTTTTTTTTTTTTTTTTTTTTTTTTTTTTAAAAGTGATGATTTTACGCAGTTTTAATCGTCAACTTCACTTACCTATGCAGCAATCTTCCTCATAGTACAAGGGGTCCTGAGTCAACATTTTGCCGTTTGTTCAATGTCAGCGTGTTGACTCAGGAATCCTGTCATGGCGAGCATGTGCAGCAATATATGCCCTTATCATCTGCATATGGGGTTTTTTATATCAGTCTCAGCTGATTCACAAGAACAAATTCTAAAACGAAGTAATTTATTGACAAACAAGTTGATGAAACAAGAATATCAACAGTCTCATTTCGTAATTCTATGGTCAATACGATGACCGTGTCAGCAAATGCAATCTATCTTTCAATCATAATATTGACTGACTTTTTTGATACTAATGGTTAGACCATTATTTACACACAGAAATTTAGACGGATTTTTCAATACTTCCCAATTAGGACAAGGAGCATACGGCGGGTGTGACAGGTCGACAGGGGATGCTCACTCCTCCAAAACACCTGATCCCACCTCTGATGTTTCAGAGGTCCGGTTTTTTCCCTGTTTTTGATTTGTATAGATTGGGTTCTCTTTTATTTCGACTAGGGCTTGATATTAAGCGTTTAACAACTTTCTTCGTACGTCTTTCTTGGAATTTTTGCCCCCTCCCCTACTTGACTTCGCCTCTGATCTATGTTACTGATTGTGTTGGAAGAGCTTTTGGGGCATATATATTCCAAGGCAGCTGCAAATCCTACAGACACTCACAAAATGTTCCATTAGGGCAATAAACATAATGTCAAAAAACACATTTTGGGGGGGGGGGGATATGAGATTCATTTTAAGTACGAAGATAAGATGACCTATACATGTATTTTTTGTTAAATATTTCTCGAAAAAGTAAGAGCACTTAGATTCCCTTGTAGGAAAAAAGATCCTCATAGATATACATGTACTACTAATGCTAGTACTGGGTATTATCAAAGATCAAATTAATATTTTATTTCAGGCAATGCAATTTTTGAAGTATATCAATTCCTCATCACATAGTTTACGCGTACTAAAGCAGCATACTACCAATGATGCTTCAAAATTAGTGATCAGCTTACATGCACTCTTAAAATGTAATTCTTCGTTATAAAAGTATTGCAACATAGAGTAAAATATGTACACATTTATTAAGACAAAATCATTTATTGCTCAATGTATACTTCTTCTTACAGTTTACACATACGTATATGAACATTAGAACATTGTATATTAAAGTCAATAATGATTATTGGTCATGCTGATGATGATAGTACAATCTTCTGTACCCAAAACAACAAGCAAATTCAAGGAATTGTGGTCCCCCGCTTTCGGTGTCATTGTGGGCGAGATATCATTTTTTATGACGTATTGTGTGTAATATGAACACCCTATCATATGTCATTTATATAGAAATCATCACTGAACTCAAGGTCAAGGTCAAAGGGTTAAAGTTCTTGGTATCCAATGTAAAGTCTTCTCATAAGGATTACATATCTGAAGTATGAAAGTCCTAGTCCTTACCATTCAAAAGTTATACTCAGTAGTCAAGATTTAAGTTTTTTATTAGTACAAAATGTCCAAGGTCAAAGTCAAAAGGTCAAGGTTGTTGGTATCAAATGAAAGGTCTTGCCAAAAAGAAAGCATATGTGAAATATGAAAGTCCCAGTATCTACTGTTCCAAAGTTGTGGCCAAGGTAAAAGTTTTTGAAAAGTAGGTCAAACTCCAAGGTCAAGGTCAAAGGATCAAAGTTCTTGGTATTTAATGAAAGGTCTTTTCACAAGGATTACATATGTGAAGTATGAAAGCCCTAGCCCCTACCATTCAAAAGTTTTGGTCAAGGTTAAAGTTTTTTCGTAAGTACACAAATCTCCAAGGTCAAGGTCAAAAGGTCAAAATTCTTGGTATCCAATGAAAGGTCTTGCCAAAAAAAAAAAAAAATGCATATGTGAAATATGAAAGTTCCAGTATCCATCGTTCAAAAGTTGTAACCAAGGTTATAGTTTTTAAAAAGTAGGTCAAACTCCAAGGTCAAAGGATCAAAGTTCTTGGTATTTAATGAAAGGTCTTCTAACAAGAATTACATATGTGAAGTATGAAAGCAATAGCCCCTACCATTCAAAAGTTTTGGTCAAAGTTAAAGTTTTTTCATAAGTACATAAATCTCCAAGGTCAAGGTCAAAAGGTCGAAAGCTGTTGGTATCCAATGAAAGGTCTTGCTTCAAACAATACATATATGAAATATTTAAGTCCTAGTACCTACTATTCAAAAGTTACGACCAAAGTAAAAGTTTGAAATTTTTGTGTAAAAGTGGGTCAAACTCCAAGGTCAAGGTCAAAAGGTCAAATTTAGTGGTACCCAAAGAAAGGTCTTGTCACAAGAAATACACATGTGAAATATGAAAGTCATAGCTCTACTAAATCAAAAGTTATGGGCAAGGTTAAAGTTTTTGTGACGGACGGACAGACTGACAGACAGACAGACAGACAGACGGAGAGACGGACAGACGGACAGACGAATGAGATTTAATGTCCCCTCGCTTTCGCGAAAGCGGGGGACAAAAAGCAACACATAATTAAAACTATAAGCAAGGCAAATCTACCAGTTCTTCAATAAAGATGAACAATTTGGTGTCCTTTAACTGTTATTTCTTCTATTCAAAATCGTCTTCAATAAGAAAATGTTTTCATTTTAATGAAATTGTCTTCATGTGTTCTGCACAACAGTTGCGTGGTCGGAATTAGCGATGGAGATTATGCCGTTTCTCGCCTCAATATTGTTGATGTTATATGTATTGTACACATCTAAAATGACAAATAAAAATCTCTATAAGATACAGCTACAACTGCAACTCTTTTTTTTAAACTTATTTTTTTCTTTGTCATAACGTATGTTCTAATCCCTATGTATTTTCACGAAGTAAGAGTGATTTACCCTTATATAATTTCCGTAATTACCAACTTGAAAAGAAATATGTTTATAAAAGATTGAGCCCAATGCTTAAAAATTCCAAAATTATTATTCGATGCACTACAATGTAGTGACTACATACGATTTCCTGGTGCGGCAGGCATTGCTGTACGTACAGCTCCGTCACCCCGATTTAGACCCATCTGTGCCTCTGTCTGGTCAATTTCTCTCACTAGATCCACTCCTATGTTTTGCACCAGTTCTCTAAGAACCGTGTAACCTCCAGGAGCGAGGAGTCCTTTGGATTCTAGAAGATCGAACACTTCCACAACATCGTCAATCGAACGCTCTCTGGGGGTTGTCAGATAATTTCTACAGTTTAGGAGGAACCTTCTTTTATCCACACCACCCCTCACTCTGGGCTCTAAATAATCCAGAGCAAGAGTCGACAGAAGCCTAATATGAAGCTCTCTAAAGAAATTATAAAATTGCATGTTATAATTTTGTTACCTATTCGAAATAAAATGACTACTTGTGTACATTAGATATTTATTATATGGTAATGTGAACTGTTTGGGGTGACCCAAGGTCCTTCAGTTAAGCGTAAGTTTTATCCTCCTGCTATGTGGTAGCTGCAGAACTGTAGCTATCCGAAAAAAAAAATATTTTGACAGACCGGTCTGTCAAAAAAAAAATTTCGGAGAGCTACAGTTCTGCAGCTACGTCTGTCCAAATGTTTTTTTGTTTGTTTGTTTGTTTGTTTGTTTGTTTTTTTTTTTTTTTTTTTTTTTTTGGAGAGCTACACTTCAGCAGCTAATGATATACAGTTTGGGTAAATTACTATAATAAGGTAATCCAATTCGCTCTTTGTTACGGAAACGAAAGTACGTTTAACTTTAAAGAATGAATTTTTGTTATAATTGAACAACACATGACAATAATAATTTGACACATTATTTTTGATTTCATAAAATACAATGAATTTTCTGATTACTAAATTTTTTCTTCACTTTAAATTCAAGCAAAAAAATTAAGTGTATTTACCTTTCCATTGATCAGGCTGCAGAGGAAATTCCAAAAATCTATTTTCGGTTAGTTTCAGTATTTTTTTTTAATATATCAAGGGGCATAACTTGATTGGCTTAACAAATGAGAGAGGGAGAGAGAGAGTATAAAGTCCTACTAAAACGTTGAGGCTATAAGAGTGTAAGGTCTCTCAAAAAGGTGTAGTTTGTGCATTGTGCCCTTTTCTATGTCTGTCTAAATCAGGCGCGGATCCAGGATTTGGAGTTAGGGGGGCGCCAAAATAGGCAAGAGGTCTGGGGGCCGCCTTAAGGCCCCCAGTGGGTCCAGGGCAAAGCCCCGGTGGGGGCCCAGGGGTCGAAGCCCCTGGAAGCTCCTGGATTCTAGAGATTTTGAAGGGTTAAAATGAGGTCTACCAAAGCCCTGGTGGGGGCCCAGGGGGCGAAGCCCCCGGAAGCTCCTGGATTCTAGAGATTTTGAAGGGTGAAAATGAGGTCTACCAAGTAGACATATTTGATTTACGCTAACTTTGACAATTTTAGGGGGGGGCGCGCGCCGGGTGCGCCCCCCCTTAAATCCGCCACTGTAAATACACCCATTGAAATAAAAGTAGCTGTAATAAAAAAAAACCTTGATATGTCATATTAAATATCTCTGTATGTCTCTTTTAGAGAAATTGATCTTTAAACAAAAGGTATATTAAAGGACCACATTATGCTTCATTATTACATAAAATAAAATTCAACTGATCATGATTTTGCTGTTTCCAGAAAAAAAATTATTTAAGACCCCCCTATGTTTTCCTATATAAAATCTTGCCAGATCTCCACATTTTTTCCTTATTCAAAATACGGAAAAAATGCGGACGGGAGTATTTGGACTAATTTTCCGCATTCATTCCAGATTTTCGTAGATTCAAATTTCCAGATTTTCTCCGTATTCAAAATATGGAGAAAATGTGGATGGGAGTATTTGGACTCTTTTTCCGTATTCTCTCCAGATTTCCGCATTTCCATATATACAAAATATGGAGGTAGTTACTTGGTTGATAAAATGCGGAAATACGGAAATCTGGAGAAAATACGGAGTTAATCACATGATTATAAAATGGCTAATAAAACTGCTACATGATGCATACATACATAAATATTTACAAAACCATCAACAATGTGCAAAATTATATACAATTTATTATATCATTATGAGAACAAAAAATATAAATGAATGAACAAAATTACACATTATGTTCATGAGCAATGTATTGGATCTTATATCTTTGACAAACAAATAGGAGCATGTATGGAAAAAAAAAAACTGGAACTCTTATTTAAGCCACAAGTTCATCATGGAAAAGATGTGGCATTTTTTAATATTCATATTAAATAAATGGAAATTTATTCATTCTATTTAAGCAAAAGTGGGAGTGAAATGTTCAACACTATTAGGTATTGGGGAAAAAATAACAATTGACATAGCATTGAATATTTACAAAACAAGAAAAAATTTTAGACATTTTTTATCAATCTGGATCACATTTGCCATTTTCTACCTCCATCCCTGATTCATATTTCTCACATTCAATTTATATCTCAGGTCTGTGCTTTACACCCATCTGTCCAATAAAAATTTTCTTCAGAGTTCTTTGTAATTTGTAAGGTCTCTGCATGTTTAATTTCTTGCAGCAGCACTTGCGGTCGAATTGGCAAATCCTATCAATTAAAAAAAAAGTACTTAAATTATAATGGTGCAATATTAATAAAATTTAAATTCATTGCTTTTATTCCTTTTAAAATCTTTTTATAAACACAAGTTTGGGTTCTTCAATTTAATATCAATTTGTTTAAAATATTATTTATAATAATGACAATCATAGTTGACTGTTTTTAATTAAACAAGCAATAAAAAAAGAAAAAAAAAGAATATATATACCTCAAACATAACCATCCATGGACCAAGCTTTAAGCCCGTTAAAATCGCAGTAAGTTGAATAAGCACTTATTCTTTTTCAGAAATCTCCTCCTCATGCACAGACGCTACCAAAAAAAAAATGTATGGTAAATCATTGCTAGAGATTACACCCCATGGCTCCCCAAAATTAACACCTTTAATTGTGGTTAACCATAATAAAATTCTATGAGCTGATTGAAAGATTTGAATCATGGGCATATTGGCTGAAACGTACGTAGCCAGTGGTAGCTCAGTCCTAGGCCTAGAGTATTTATTTTCATCATCACAGTGACACACGTTAAAAAAATATGACTGACCTACCGCATATGAAATACGTGTATCTGCATCTTTTGGTTGATACAGCAATACGATCTCAGGCTGTCTGGTCAACAAACTTCTTCCTTTAGACAGAGCAGACGTTGCAACATGGAGGCCAAGGTTAAATTTTGGCGGTCTGTTGTTTAAATTAATTGATCACTGAGCCCGACTTTTTGAAACATTCTTCCGATCCCGATCAAATTGTACATAACATTCAGGAGAAACAGAGAACTGCTGTTAACTCCAAGACAGTTTTTATGCACCCAAATTTTTTCGGGGCGCATATTGTTTTTGTCCTGTCTGTCTGTTTAGCTGTATGTCTGTCTGTTTGTTTGTCTGTTGTCAACTTTAACCTTCGCCATAACTTTTGAACTGTGAGACTTAGAGACTTCATATTTGGTATGGATACTCCACAACAAAAACACTTTCAACTGACACCAAGGTCAATGACCTTATGACCTTGATTGTGACCTTTATGCTAAAAATAGCTTTTTCGAACTTTCGCCATAACTTCTGAACCGTGAGAGATAGAGACTTCATATTTGGTATGCATACTCCACTAATTAGGCACTTTCAACTGACACCAAGGTCAATGACCTTGTGACCATGACTGTGACCTTTATGCTAAAAATAGCTTTTTGGAACTTTCACCATAACTTCTGAACGGTGAGAGATAGAGACTTCATATTTGGTATGCATACTCCATTAATTAGGCACTTTCAACTGACACCAAGGTCAGTGACCTTGACTGTGACCTTTATGCTAAAAATAGCTTTTTCGAACTTTCGCCAAAACTTTAAAACCGTGAGAGATAGAGACTTCATATTTGGTATGCATACTCCACTAATTAGGCACCTTCAACTGACACCAAGATCAATGACCTTGTGACCTTGATTGTGTCCTATGTGCTAAATATAGCTTTTTTCGAATTTTCGCCATAACTTTTGAACCATAGATGATAGAGACTTAATATTTGGTATGCATACTACACTAATAAAGTGCTTTCAAATGACACCAAGAACTATGATTGTGTGACCTTGACTGAGACCCATTTGCTAAAAATTGCTTTTTAGAACTTAATGTTGCCGCCAGGTGCTACTGTGTCTCACAAACACATCTTGTTCTTGATGAAAAAATTCTAAGTCCAGAGCTCCGTATTTTTTCCGGATGAAAAATATTCTAAGTTAAGAGTTCAATATTTTTCCAGATGAAAAATAGACTAAGTCCAATTCTCCATATTATTTCCGTTTATTTTCCGGATTATTTCCGTATATTTTCTGCTTTTCCGTATTGTTAATTTTCTCCGTATTTTTTTCCACATTTTTTCCATATTAAAATGAGGAAAAAATGCGGAATAATGCGGAAATCTGGAGATCTGAGGTGCGGTGTCCACATTGGCCACATTAAGCTATCCCCAGAAGTCAGAATTTGAACAAACTTGAATGTACAACTACCTATTGGCACTTCCATATAAATAAGACTAATCCTTGCTTTCTTATTCTCTTATATATGAATGTATAAAACTTTTGTTTTGATGTTACAACAAAAGGATTGGACACAAGTTCTTAAAAACTTAGAACGTCCTCTCCTTAAACAATTAAAAACACAAAGTATTGTTCAAAATTAATTTACACAGGAACCAAAGGTCAATAAGATTATCTAACATGGGTAATGCATGTACAGAATTGAATTAATGTAGTATGGACAAAAATTTTTGGACGTGGATTCTTCGCAGGCACAGACTTAGACATTTTGGGGGAGGGGAGTCTATATTCACTCCAATAGAAAATTAAATGATAAACATATTATGAACCTTAGGCCACCAACAAATGTGTATAATATAATTCAAGTCTGTACCAAATTGTTTAATGGTACTCTCAAGACAAGTTACATTGTAAATACTTATGCAAAATATTCAAGAGGGATACACTGTATATTATACTCCAAGGGAGAAATCTCTCAGGATGGAAACCAAGATCCTTTCAAATTTCCAGTTTGCACATCTAATTCAAATCTGTTGTAATTATGTTATTTTTTACAGGTGATCAGCTAATAATAAAAGCAGAGTTGCTCACTATCCACATATTTGGAACACAAATCGGTACCCTGTGATATAGTGCATGCTCTAAAGTATCATACAAAATAGGGTGCAAATTTCTCATTTTAACTGGAAGCTTTCATAAAGTCAAGTAACAATAATTCATTTTGAGATTTTATTGTTTACAAAGTTACTTGTACTTCCAAGAATTTTTACAAAATAACATATAAAGACAATACCAACAAAAGTCATAAAAAATATCCGATTTAATATTAAAAATGCAATGCCCGCATTGGTTTGACCTCATCAAAAGTCCACGGATCTGTCATCTGGAGTTCCATCAATGTCTGTTTATTTCGTGTCTGGATCAGAGTTGCAGTGTCCTCCCATTTCTCTTTTGCATCTTCCAGTTTTTCCATAAATTTACGCATTGCATCCTAAAAATTTACAAAACATTAATTTGGGAT